GCAGAGCTACCATTTGACCCATCTATCCCATTACTGAGTATATACCAAAAGAATATAAATTGTTTTCTCATAAAAACATGTAAATGTGTTATGTTCATTGCAGCACTAGTCACAATAGCAAAGACATAGAATCAACCTAAATGTCCATCAATGGCAGACTGGATAAAGAAAATGTGGTACATGTACACCATGGAATACTATGCAGCCATAAAAAAGATCATGTCCTCTGCAGGAACATGGATTGAGCTGGAAGCCATTATCCTTAGCAAACTAATGCAGGAAAAGAAAAGTAAAGAACACGTATTCTCACTTACAGGTGGGAGCTAAACAATCACAACACATGGACACAGAGAGGGGAACAACACACACTGGGACCTATCAGAGGGTGGAAGTTGGGAGAAAGAAGAAGATCAGGAAAGATAACTAATGAGTACTATGCTTAATACCTAGATGATGAAATAATCGATACAACATACCTCCATGATACAAATTTACCTATATAACAAATCTGCACACATACCTGTGCACTTAAAAGAAAAGTTCAGTGGCTAATATTTGTCAGAATGAATCATTTATTTCCTTAAATATGTAGCCTTCCTCTGTCTTTACCCATTTTTAAAAATCCTTTTCTTAACCCCCTCTACTTCTTCTTTATGTGTAGCATAAAACTGCAGAATTCAGGGTTTGAATGTATAAGGGTTAAGGAAACTAATGTGCATTGAGATGCTCGTGGAAGACACATTTTATATGTATAAATGCCTAAGGTATGGACTCGCTTTTTGGAATTTTGTTTAGAATACCACACGATTAAAATGCTAAAAGAAAGATGTCATATGAGGGGAAAATAGTTGTAAATTTAGACTGCATATTATAATTTCCATCCTGAATGTAAAGAATTGAATATTAGTAAGGCATTAAATGAAGGCTTTTTTTTTTTTTAAACAGTGATAATGCCTCTGATTCTAGTTTAAAAAAATGGGAGAACTGTTATTGCATTTTTATATTAGCACACTTTCTGAAAAGCAATTAAATTTCCTCGCCACCTCAGTTTTTAGAAAGCAAAAGGTTAGAAAATACAATAAAACTGAACATAATTTCCAAAAAACCTGAAAGTCATGGACTGTGAGATATTTGAAATCATATCAAAAAGCAGAATTTATAGCCCTATGACTTATGGAAAAGGAAATGGAATTGTGTTTTATTTTTAAAACATAACCACTAAAATGGTGTTTCCATAGTAACAAGGTCAATACCAGTAGCCATTACAGACCTTCCCCTTTTCTGATGGTGGGTTTAAAGATCTTTTTCAAACACCACTTTAAAAGACCTATGAAAAAAACACAGGTTTTCTGATCATTCATCTGAACCGAAAATGAAGAAAACCACACATGGAGTATTGAATTTCTCATGTTTTATGGATTACAAGCATTCATCGCTGTCATATTTTCAGAAAGAAGCCTGCCTGACTAGCTACCATGCCAACTCCTGAACTTGGGATTTGATTAGCCTGATTGTAAACCAGGATGAACAGAAGTTGTTTGCAGTAGTATTCAAACAGACATCAAAGGTGGCACAGTATTAAAAAACATACTTCTTTAACATCTAAATATTGAAAGAGTTAAGTAAATAATCCTTGTTATTAAATTTCAAAGGCTCAGATAAAATATTGTATCGCTACTAGAGGAAGGGCAGACAGATGTAGGCCACATTTTGTTGACAACAGAACTAAATAGTTCTTTGGCCATAAAAATCAGTTCACTGAGCCCCACCAGGAAGTGGACTGCCCTTTCTTTTTTCTCTATATCAAGGTACACTGCCTATATGATAGTCATTTGTATAGCTTTGTCTTCACTAAACTGCGAGCCCCTTGAAAGCAGAGATATTTTCTTTCTCTATGTATTCATGACAGTATTTCACATGATATTTTGTACATAAAAAATACTGAAAAAAACAAGCAGAGAATGCATCATGAAAAATGATCACAAAACAGTAGCTAAAATAACAAAATCTCTGGTTTAATTTTAGAAACAATGTATCAGTTAAAAATATGTACTCATGATTTTAATCTCTTTAAACCAAGAGGCTTTAGAATCTTTGTTCATAGAATCCCCAACAGCGAAATAATTAATCCAATTGCCTGCCCCCTAGATCAATTCCTTCAGAATCTCTACAGGTGGGGCTCTGGCATCAGTATTTTCTAAAGTTACTCAGATAATTCTTATGTGAAACAAGTGTTGAGAATCATTGCTTTACACAGTTCTCCCATGGTGCAACTGAGGATTAATTTACTTCCTACGTTAGCTATATTTCCCCGGCAATATTGCCTCATAATACTATATTTAGCAAACCTATAAGAACTTTTGTTATAACCCAATGATTTTTCCCTGTAAACACTTTTTATAATAAAAAGTATCAATTAAAACAGTTTGGTCTTACACAATTAAAACTTTTAGCCCAAATTATCATTTATAGTATTCTGTTTAATATACTTATTAGCTTTCTGTTACTGTGAATTCAGCTTTAAAAACCAGAGCTGAATACAGTACCAACATAACAGACAGTAAATAAATATCAGTAGAATCAGTAAATAAATATCAGTAGAATTAAGTATATGTTTTTGTGCTTTTATACATACTTTTCCCTGAGTCTGTAATGCATACAGACTCACACCCTCTATGTATCTGGAACAATTGCAATTCATCTTTTAAAACACACAGATCATATTTTTCTTCCTCCAGGAAACCTTCCCTCGTGGGGATAGATCATTAAGCACCCTCTACTTTGACACTGTCTTTGCTTCCCTTTCATGCTTCTGCTTTGCACTTATCACCTTGTAGTGTCATCGATTTTTCTTCCTTTTTTTTTTGTTTTTACTATAAGCCCTTTCTCCATTGTTGATTGTGAATAATTGGAAGCAGGTGCTAATTCAGGCCTCTCTCTGCTTTTTCTCTCGGGGCACAACACAATCACTGGAAACAAACTAAAGTGAATGAATAAATGGCCATATTGAAGTGAAAGACGTGCATTTCAAAACCACTAATGTAGGCCAGGCATGGTGGCTCACACCTGTTAATCCCAGCACTTCGTGGGGCTGAGGCAGGATTGTTTGAGGTCAGGAGTTCGAGGCTGGCCTGGGCAACATAGTGAGACTCTATCTCTACAAAAAAATAAAAGAAAAAATTAGGCGGGTGTGATGGCACATGCCTGCAGTCCCAGCTACACAGAAGAGTGAGGCAGGAGGACTGTTTGAACCCAGGAGTTCAAGGTTGCAGTGAGCTATGATTGCACCATTGCACTCCAGTCTGGGTGACAGAATGAGACGCTGTCTCTAAAAAAAGGTAAAAACAAAACAAAACAAAAAACCCACTAATGCTATGAATTGAATTGTGTCCCTCCAAATTTACATGTTGAAGCCTTAACTCTCACTGTGCTGGCATTTGGAGTTGAGACCTTTGGGAGACTTTGAAGATAATTAGGGTTAGATAAGTGCATGAGGGAAGGGTAGAGCCCTCAATACAGGGCTGGTGCCCTTATAAGAAGAGACACCTGAGATCTTGCTGTCTCTCTCTGCCATGTGAGAACACAGCAGGAAGACTGCCCTCAACAAGGCAGGAAGATGGCCCTCACCAGAATCCTATCATGCTGGCACCCAGATCTCTGACTTCCAGCCTCCAGAACTATGAGAAAATACATTTCTGTCATTTCACATTACTTGGTTTATGTTTTTTTTGTTATTCTAAGATGATCAATACAACTGTGAATCAGGATTAAATTATTTGAAGAAAAAAAATAGAAACATTACAGATATTTATGCTTTCTCTCCTTTACTTCAATCCTTTAAAAATAGGCGTTTGCTTTTTCAAAGAAAAGGTTATATCAAAAGCACTTAGATGGGATATTTCATAGATATTTCATGCTATTTCCCCAATTAGCCTGAGGCCTTTTTTTTTTTTTTTCTGATATTTTCCTGATAAACTAAGAAGCCTATCAGTGGAAAATGAATTAATTTTGCAGAGCAACAATTAATCAATGAGAAAACATAAATTACCTTGGCCACTACATTAACAATTAGGGCTATTCATTAGGTTTCCTTTTATGTTTTTTCTTACAGATGTCATTCATTAAAAACCCAATATTCCTTGCACTGTGCTAAATATTACATCTTAAATTAATTTTTCTTTGTCTTGCTTAGAGAAAACATTTAAGATACCCTGGAAACTCCTTAATGTATTATTTATTTATTCAACTAGTATTTATTGTGAATTGTGGAAACCAAATTCAGTGTTTAAAGCCTATCTAAGCTGGTTTCATTCTAGCATTTTCTTGGGACCGTGACTATAAACTGCCCAGTCCGTATCTGGGGAATGTACTGTATAAGCAAAGCATACACACAGTGTAGTTTAGATTGACAATACACACACTTTTAAATTTCATGAATGAGTAACATTTTTACAATTGGGTGAACTAATACCAATTTGTCAACATTTTACCTGACCAAATAATAACAGTAAAAAGAAACAAATACCACTATCAGTTTTTATCTTTAGTTCACAAATGATGGAGTATTTTAACACAAAATAATTAAGGAAAATAATCAGAAGAGAATAAAGGGTGGTTTTCAAAGTGTTCACATTTTGTTTAATGGATAAAAACATCCACTATGTCCCTTATTCTTCTTATTTCAGTCTAAATTAGCGAAACTGTTCCTCTTTTCAACTATTCAAAATTCCTTTCTTATTCTAATTCTAATTATTTCTTATTCTAATTGTTTCATCCATTAAAATAATAAGTAAACCTGGTTTAATTCTACCAGCCTTGTAGGGTCCAAATGAAAAATGCATGTTTACCGACCTGTAATTATTTTACCTCATTTTGTCAAATACCAAAGATAAATGATGTTTCTGATACCATGGTTACTTTATATTTCTGCATCTATGCCCTCTAAATCTCTATGTGAAGTCTATAAACCAAAGACTAACAAATATAACAACAAAACTTACATGTGTGGACCCAATGAAATTGCCCTTGCCATTACAATTCCAAGAATGAGAGTTGTTAAACCTGTAGAGATGAGGGAGACCTGTCAAAGAAAATACAAGGATATTGCCAGTTTAGGACAGAAATTATTTTATTTTAAATGTTAAGTCTTTCTTGTTTTTAATTGGGTAAACTTACATATAGATTTTTCTGCCTAATTCTTTAGTAGGTTATTCTTGAAGCTTGGTGTTGATAATCTCAGGCAGGTAACTTCTTATCAGATCATAGTGTTGGTCCCCGCACCCACCCCAAGTAGGTGAGCAAGTATTACATATGACTGTCATCACCATACAATACGGCTTTGAAAATTTTTAGTGGCTCTTGCACGGAATACAAAACTGGTGATTTTAGCTTATCAAAGCAAAAGTGAAATTATGTTTCCTTTTTTCTTCAAGTCCTATTTTAGTGTTGACATATGCTTTTTTACTATCTATAATTGCTGCTTCTACTTGTCTTACTCTCTTTGTTCCAACACCACATACATTCCTCCCCCTCCTTTTCTTATTTTTATTTTTATTTATTTATTTTTTTGAGGAGGGGTACCTCAGTTTTTTCCTCTCTGCTCTCCAGCTCTACTTTTCCTACATGGTTTTGCCCTTTGGTCTGTGTTTCTAGGCCTGTTTTGCTTCTTCCTCTCTGTTCTGTCATTATGTCAACCGGTTAAAATATAAACTGGTCTGTGTGTGTCTGTGCCCTGTGCACTCATTATGCTAGGTTTGTGTGTCTAGTCTTAATTTTTTTAAATGAATAAGCACATTATGGATCCTTTCTCTGATAAGAAAAAATAAATATAAAACTGCTTGTATTTTATGTGAGTCTCATTAACCTTGTTTTCTAAGTTGTTAATTTTTAACTAGAAAGAAGTTTCTATTAGGAATTGGCTTATCTTCTGAGAGAGAGAGAGATTAAACAACATCCCCAAGGTGATGCAGCTGGAATGTGGCAGAGAGGGAACTCAGATACAAGCAGCCTGACTGCAGATTAGGGCTCCTAACCACTCTGCTTTGCTCATTGAGAGATTTATTTAGCTATCTCAATATGACACTTTTAAGGGGGATTTAGGAAAAAATACCCAGGTATTAATAATACGACAGAATGTTAATAGCCTTCCTTTTATGAACGCCTTGCTCTCTGCTCAGAAGTTAACATTTATGTGCACACTGAATATGTGAAACGGAAAATAGTTCAATCATTTTATATAATTCACAAAAAAGTATGTTTTGATACAGACTTGTTTGTTTCCGGATGGCTATTAGGGATGGTCAGAATACTCTGAAATATCATGTCTACCCTCAGCTCTACCTGGAAGGATGAACTTCATAACGGGGTACACATCAAACATCACAGTGAAAAGTAAAATTCAGTCAAATGTTGGATTTTTCAAACTAGAATATAAAAATATTATATAAATAACTCTTTTAAAAAATATCTTGTCAGAATGTTTGGCATTGCGTAGACATAGTACCAATAATATTTTGGGTAAAATACAAATATTCCTTGAGAGTAAGTGCAAATGAGCATCTGTAGCGAACTGAATAATTATTTAATTGTTTTCATTAAAAGAGTTCAGTATTCCTCTTTAGTAATATAAATCTGAATACTGGCAAAATTCAGAATACTGGCAAAATTCTCAAAAATTGACCAATCAACACATTGAAAATTAAATTCACTGGATGAAAAATAAGCACAATAGACATGGTAATTTACAAATAAATATATTTTAAGCCATTGAAGTGATTCACTGTTACTTCTTAATTTTTTTTTTTTTTTTTTTTTTTTTTGAGACGGAGTCTCGCTCTGTCGCCTGGGCTGGCGTGCAGTGGCCGGGTCTCGGCTCCCTGCAAGCTCTGCCTCCCGGGTTTACGCCATTCTCCTGCCTCAGCCTCCCGAGTAGCTGGGACTACAGGCGCCCGCCACCTCGTCCGGCTAGTTTTTTGTATTTTCTTTTTAGTAGAGACGGGGTTTCACTGTGTTAGCCAGGATGGTCTCGATCTCCTGACCTCGTGATCCGCCCGTCTCGGCCTCCCAAAGTGCTGGGATTACAGGCTTGAGCCACCATGCCCGGCCGTTTACTTCTTAATTTTAAATTGTTTAAACTACCTACACAAAAGATGGAACACTTTTCCAATAAATTAGATTTGCTTTAAATATAGTTATTTATATTTTCTAAATTTAAAATGTGTTGTCTGACATCAGGGTATCTACCTTAAAAAAGAAAAAGGAAGAATAGTTCATACTCATCAACTATTTAACCATCGGTTCTCACAAACTAATGATTCAAACACAGTTTGCTCTAGTATAACCATTAAGCAAACTAGAAGAAACTAAAGATGAATACTGTAATTAAGAACTCTGTCAAGTAGACAGTAGATTACTGCAGGCAACAAGGTACTTTTCTATGACAATTTAAAATGTAAAAATTACCTTTCCAAGCTTCGCTATATTTCGGTACAAGGATAAAGGCAGAGTAAAGGTAACTGTGGAAAGCCCAATAATGAAGTGGCGACCAATAAACACGTTTTCAGGATCAACTAAAACACAATAAATATTAAATATTACAGGTATAAGTAACACATCAGTGACACACTAAATAGCCCAGCATTTAATTATAAACATTACTTAAACATAAATACTAACTCAATGACAATGATTTTGAGTTAATACTCTCCATAAAACCATGTAAAAATAAAAATAAATCACAATACAAATACAAAAAAACTTCAGGATGACTTATACTTCAAATGATGTTATAATATTTCACACTGAAATTATTTTACTAGACTCCTTACCAGTTTTCATGCCTTCCTTTGTCTTCTTATAGTATACTCTTAACACAGAAACTACAGAATTCCTTTTCTAAGGTAAAAAACATTATGTCATTCTCTGCCCAAAACCCTTTAATGATGAAACCCTTCAGGTAGAAAGTAAGCTATAGGAGGATGATGCATTTTCTAAGGGTTTTTTTTTTTGTTTTTTTTTGTTTTTTTTTCCTGTACCCAAGAGACTTGGACAGTAATACTTTAACAAAATTTCAAAAATAAAGATTTAGATTAAAATATTTAATATATTTCTATACTTTTATCAAGAAAAAAGTGGTTTCCCTGATTGGCAGAAGCAACATACTGGATAGGGCAGAAGTCACAGGGAAGCTGCTGCAACTGGTAGATGTGGCAGATTCTTGGCTATGGTCAAATACAAATAGAAAATTATATTTTATATATATCAAAAATTATATATATAATATAATTATATTGTGTGATTATATAAATACATAATATATATTATATATTAATATACAACATATAAATTAATATGTAATATATTATATTATATATAATATATATAATTATATGTGTTGCTTGTATAATCAAATATAAACAGACGTTTTAAATCTCAAATGAAACATACAAGGATTTATATATTTTTAAAGGTGTGCTAATTAAAATAGTCACTTAAGGAGCTATATATCTATTTCAATGAAGACACTACTGTTTAAATTTTGAGCTCATATTAAATTTCACTCAGAGATCATGTCATTATATTGTTACAATGTCTTCAGTGGTACCAAGTCATTGTACATCAACTTCTGCATAGTCTAAAGTCTATAGAGATCCAGTCTTAAATAAGTGAATGATTGTGGTAAGAAAATAAAAGCTGTTATCCTAAACAATGACACTAATTTTCTTAGATGGCTAATAAACTTACAAGAAAGTTTCAAGAAAGAAATTTCAAAATGACATAGGTTTTTACCACATATATGTATTTTATATATGGTTAATAGATTATTAGTATTTTCTATATGTGTAGTGTATATATATGTACATGATGTGTATATATGTGTATGTGTGTACATATATATTATATATATGGAAAGGAATATTTAATTATTAATATTAATGGAATACTTGAACTCAGCCATAACTAGTCATTATAAAATTAAGAATTGAAACAAAACAGGAAAATCAATTCCAAAATCCCTGAACTCACTATTTACATATTTGTGGTGAACATAATTTGAACCAAATTATTCGTGTATCTATTTCTATTTACTCTTTACACATTTTGCTTCACTGGCAAAGTGAAGGGCTAGATAAACGCTGACACAGACTGCTGTGATCAACAGGTAGGAGCCTAATAACTTAGGATCCCATTTGCATAAAGGATGTTTTTCACTAATGATCTAATGATGAGATCTATTACCTAAACGGACCTATCAAAAATGCAACCAAGTATGCATTTTAAATGTTTAAACAACAGTAAAGAAAGGTGAAAATTGAAATTTTTGAAAATAAAATTTTTGTAAAAATTTAAAAGCATGTAAACATACTATTTTTTATGCCAACATTTCTTGTTACTTTGACTTACATCAAGAGCTAAGGTTTTGGCTACCAGAGAAAAGTATAAGCAATTGCCTACTTGCCAATTTATTAGTGATGTATTTCAGAATAAAAATAGAACTTTGGTAAGAATTTTATAGTATCTGCTTCTAAAAATACTCTGGCATAATATTATGCCTCACAAGATATACAAACAGAGTGAACATTATAAACTGTCACACCCCAAAAGGGTGAAGATGCTGTAAGAATAAAATTGTGTTCCTTGCCACATGACCTACATTTTTAAAAATCATTTTTGATGATTACAAAATTGATAACATGGAAGAGGGCTTCAAGTTTCCATTAGCCTGTTCTATAATGTTTTGTTTTTATGAAGAGTGTTATACATACATTGCTTGTATAATTAAAAATCAATAAAAATTAACAATCAAAATGTTTCTATCAAGGAAAGTTAAATTAATTATGGCCACTCTAACTGTACAGTAGGTACTGTACAGAATACTGAACTTGCATTAAAGCATTTATATATTTATGTTTTGATATGAGAATATGTTCTTAAAATATTACTAAGAGAAAGAAGCGTGTTATGGAACAAGATGTATGATGTTATATTATTCTTATGAATATCTGAAATTACATGTATTCTTAAAACTCTGAAAGTATACATTAAAAGATAAAAGGAAGGATGGAAGGAAGAGGAAAAATAGGAGGGGGTTGAAAGGATGGTTACTACCTGGTTGTCCCAAGAGGAAGAGATTATTAGGCTTTTCTATTTTCTCCATTTTGCTTGTCTGTGTTTTCTAATATTTTTCCAATAAATCGGTGCTACTTTTTGAATAGGAAAATACAGTAATAAAATATATTTTTAAATTAGTAATTCTCTTTTGAAAAACCTTAGAGGTCAGGTGAGATGGCTTATGCCTATAATCCGAACACTTTGGGAGGCTGAGGTGGATCGTTTGAGCTCAGGAGTTCGAGACAAGCCTGGGCAACATAGCAAAATCCCATCTCTACAAAGCCGGGCATGGTGGTGTGCACCTGTAATCCCAGCTACTTGGGAGGCTGAGGTGGAAGGATCACCTGAACCCGGGAGGTCAAGACTGCAGTGAGCCAATTATGCCACTGCACTCTAGCCTGGGTGACATAGTGAGACCCTGTCTCAAAAAAACCAAAAACAGAAACAAAAACAAAAAACAGAGAAGAAAAGAAAAACCCTTAAGAAAAACCTTGAAAAATAACACAGGAAAACCGCCACAAAAATCCCATGGATCTCATGATTAAAAGATAACCACAGTTTACATGTAAAAGTATTTCTTTCTTATTTTTTCTTACTTGTATATGCAAATAGAAAATTTACATAATTTAGATTATATCGTACATCTTGTACTATATTCTGACCACTTTCCCTTAGCATTCTACCCACTTATGTGGCCTCAGCTTATGCATTCATGCTTTGGAGTTTGGGGACTGGCACAGAAGCTACAGACAGTTCAGGGTAACAAAAATCATGACTAACAGTACTGGGTAAGTCTACTGTGTGCTAGGAATTACCTGTCTCACCTCTTTTGCTTCACACAACTATTCTATGAAGCAGATGATATTCTGATTCATAATTCAGAGATGAGGAAACTGGAACTCAGAGAGGACAACTAACCTTCTCAAGGTCACACAGCTGGTCATTAGTGAGTCTGTGATTTGACAGCTATGTCTCCATGATCTCAAGTTCCACTAAACCCTGTGTGAGGAATAGGTGTACTTTCTGGCTCTAGATTTTGTTTCATTTTGTTTTGTATGTCTCTAAAATGAGTGATTCAAGCACTAAGAGGAAAGGTGTTTTTGTATCAATCTCCTCAACTGTAATAGCAACTAGAGAGAGTGTCACAATGAAAGAGAGATTATGTAGCTTGGATGAGAAGCTCTTCAAAGCAAAAAGACACATGATCTCTGAATTATTCTAAAAACCATGACATAGTGAAAAGTTGAACAGGGAGTGGAGTTGTAGCAATATGTTGAAAAGGTCTACTTGTGAATGTTCACACTGGCTTTTTTGCAATTACCCTAAACTGGAAACAACACAAATGTCCCTCAACTGGCTGATAGATACACTATTGTACATCCATAAAATGAAATGCTTCTCAGAAATAATTTGTTAAAAAGAGCAAACTACTGATATATCTAAAGACACAGCTGAATCTCAAATACACCTTTCTAAATAAAAGAAGCCAGACTCAAAAAAGCTACATATGGTATGATGTCATTTACCTGGCATTTTGAAAAAAGCAAAACTATAGGGAGAGAAATCTCATCAGGAGGTTGGCAGGGGGAGTTGGAGATTAGGGTTTGACAACAAAGAGAAATGGGGGAAACTGGAGGGAGTGATAGAATTGTTCTGCATTATTTTTATTATTTTTAGAGACAGACTCTCTGTATGTGGCTCACACTCCTGGGCTCAAGCAATCCTTTTGCTTCAGTCTCTGGAGTAGCTGGGACTACAGGTGCACGCTACTGTGCCTGGCTTGTTGTTCTGTATTTTGATTGCAGACGTGGTTATATGACTATATGTCTTTGTCAAAACTCACAGAATATAGGTTTTTGGGTTTTTTTTTGTTTGTTTGTTTGTTTGTTTGTTTGAGACAGGGTCTCACTCTGTTGCCCAACCTGCAGGGCATTGGCATGATCACAGCTCTCTGCAGCCTCCACCTCCTGGGCTCAAGTGATCCTCCCACCTCAGCCTCCGAAGTAGCTGGAACCACAGGTGCAGATACCATGTCCTGCTAATGTTTGCACTTTGTGTACAGATGAAGTTTCACTATGTTGCCCAGGCTGGTCTTGAACTCCTGAGCTCAAGCGATCCACCCTCCTCTGCCTCCCAAAGTGCTGGGATTATAGGCGTGAGCCACCTTGCCTGGCCACAGAATATAGATTTTAAAGAGTTAATTTTACTCTATTAAATTATACCTTAATACAAATAATGGGGAAAATAGCCTGCTTGCTTATTTAAGAAATCACATAGTTTAAATACTACATGAAAAAATATTAGCCCAGAGAGCTAATTATATGAAGCATAAAAAATTTAAAATATAAAGTATTCTAAATATATAAATAGTAACAACATTTTTTCAAACAGCTAAATAAGAACTAAATTATGTATAAAAGTAGATTAGAACTTTAAGATCAAAATGGATCACGGAAATTGTGAGATACCTGAAGTAATCCAATAATTTCACTTTCAAATTTTTTATTTATAAATTATTATGAACCATGTTAACTATAAATAACTATATAAAATAAATATATTTAAATCCCCCCAATTTTTATTTTGACTTACCGCCTGGGATTCTTTGAAAAACTTTGCTCAAAGTATCTCCAGCTATTATATTGTAACTTATCATCGCTAAAAACATAATTAAAATAAGAGTCATCAATAAGCCATCACATGTTTCATCCTAAATATTTTGAAAGCAATCAGTTATTACTTCCCAAACATTGGGATTACCCTACTCCTTTAAAATGTATATTATGATTACCCATTTGGACAACTTTAAAGATAACTGGACAACAGATCTATGGCAGAGTATCAATTTGTATTAAAATAGGATTTTCTCTTTACAGGTTGATTCATCTCAGAATACCTTTAAGTAGCAAGTTCTGCTAGTTATTAAAAATGCAATTTATTTTGTTGTTAAAGTTCAGTTTCCAAACCTCTTTTCAGGAACACATGTACTGCGTAAAGTGAGGAATAATAATAGAAAACTTTGAAGGCACTAAAATATCCCCTCCATTGAAAAAGTAAGGCTTTTTTGGGAAATATATTCTTAGCTTTCTGTGGAGACATATGGAACTAGTGGTTTGAACAACACCTTCCATAGTACTGATTTTTAAAAATGAAGTCAATTTGGCCATTGGCGAATATTAACATTTCATTTTTTAAGAAGTGTTAGGTGACATTCTCACCATTATGGTATAAACTTTAAATAGCACATTGGCCTAGTACATGGCTTCCACAAATCCTTAGCATTTTTTTTTTTTAAGTATTAAGCCTTATAAGAAATGTGTTATTTCTCTTATTGGCTCTTTATTCTAGATCATTCAATTTTTTACCAAGTACAGAAAGCCCAAACATTAACCCAGTGAAAATAACCCTCATTTTATTTAAAAGAAATAGAAAATAAATCAAAAGGACCAGAAAGTAAGGAAGAAAATGGTTAAATCAGTAAATATTTAATTTGGAAAAGATTTCAACTGCTATAATGATATTCTTTAAAGACTATTAAAAGTATTTTATTCAGAAATGACCATATGCTTATGCACATAATTGCAATATTTATCTTCACAGTCAACTTACCTATAAAAGGATACAAAAACTGAAGAACAGAGAGGAGGATATACCCTGGAAAGCCGAAGGTTTTATTGACCAAAGACTGGTAGGTGTCTGTTCCGGAGAGGGCCCCTCCTTTTATCAATAAAACGAGGGAAAAGTCTATGGCAAGAATATCAATTAAATAAATGTCAGATTACACATAATACAAATATTTTTCATGCTTTAACTTAATTACCATCGAGAAAAAGGGAAATTTTAAAGAAGCATTTAATTTAATGTTACAGTATTAGCAGAGCCAGGCTAACTTTCTTTTCATAAAACATTACCTTTTATGAAACAGTAATGTTTCCAGTTACATATTTTTCAATCAAGATGCAAATATATACTTAACATACCCATGCAAAGAACAGGGCAGAAAAGAAAACAGACTCAAGTCAAACTGCCAGTGTTCCATTTTACTTTCCTGATGTAACCAATGCAGCAAATATTATCAGATTGAGGCTCAATTGTAGGTATGTAGGTAATCAAATATTTCATAGGTATTCAATGTGTGAAGACTGAGAATTAAAGGTGTGGTAGCATTTAGAAAATAATACATTTAGGAAAGTCAGAGTATTTGTTTTATAATATAATAAAATTAGTAACTTTATTTTATAGTTATTATGGTTAAGAAAGAGACACTCTGTGAAATTTTGCTGTTGAAATTTACATTTGTGGCTGGCACAGTGGCTTACGCCTGTAATCCCAGCACTTTGGGAGGCCAAGGTGGGTGGATCACGAGGTCAGGAGTTGGAGACCATCCTGGCCAACATGGTGAAACCCCGTCTCTCCTAAAAATACAAAACTTAGGCAGGTGTGGTGCCGCACATTTGTAGTCCCAGCTACTTGGGAGGCTGAGGCAGGAGAATCGCTCGAATCCAGGAGGCAAAAGCTGCAGTGAGCTGAGATCCTGCCACTTCACTCCAGCCTGGCAACAGAGTGAGACTCTGTCTCAAAAAAAAAAAAAAATTTACATTTTGAGAAACTTCAATTGAAGTTAAAGATAGATATATACAGAAATTACATAATGAAAAGTCAGTCTCCCTCATTGTTTTCATTTAACTCAATGTTTTTTACAGAAAGACACTGCAGTTGTATTTGGTACACAGCTACGCACAATGTGAGATACTTGTTCTCTTTTTTCTCTTTCTCATTTTTATCCATTAAGTAATATGGAAATGCATTAAAATGCAAGTCATTGCAATATGATTTCCCCTTGATTCCCTCCCATGTCAGTGAAACTTCTTTCAACAAGAGCATAAGTGATCTCCAAGTTGATATATCCAATTGATACCTCCTAGACCTCACTCTTATTTGCTCTTTCGGAACACTGTTTTTTGTTGTTGTTGATCATTCTTTGTTTTCTCAACCATTCTCCTTTGGCCTCTGTGACATCTCTTTCTTGTGGTTTTCTTCCTACTTTTTTGGTCATTTATACTCAATTTTTCACCAGTTTCTTTCACTCTGTTCAAGCCCTGGATTCTTGGACTTTTGTTTTCTCACTTTTTTTTTTACTTTTATTTTTTTGAGATGGAGTCTTGCTCTGTCACCCAGACTGGAGTGCAATGGCGCCATCCTGGCTCACTGCAACCTCCGCCTCCTGGGTTCAAACAATTCTCCTGCCTCAGCTTCCTGACCAGCTGGGATTGCAGGTGCCCACCACCATGCCTGGCTAATTTTTTTATTTTTAGCAGAGACGGAGTTTTGCCATGTTGGCCAGGCTGGTCTCGAACTCCTGACCTCAGGTAATCCACCCGCCTAGGCCTCCCAAAGTGCTAGGATTACAGGTGTAAGCCACTGAGCCCAGCCTTTTTTCTCAACCTTCAAGATGTACTAGTGTGATCTCATTTATACTGTGGTTGCAATTTTCATTTAGATGTTAATAACCTCTAAATTTGTGTTTCCAGCTCAGACCCCCTTCAAAACTTTCAGACTTTTACAGCTAGCTGCCTAATAAATATTTTGCCTTGAAGATCTCATAGACATCTTACTTTTAAAATATATAAATTCTAATTTGGTTATTGGTTCTGGAATTTGATTCTCTATCCATATTTCTCCAATCTGTAATTAGTATCAACAGAAACTTGAGAATTTCCCCAGACTTATCTTATTAATCATTAACTTATTTCATTACGTTCTATAGAACGTTCCTGTGGTTACTAAGTCTATTAACGATTGCATCAGAAATATTCAAATGTAGCCCCTAATCTGTAATCTTAACTTGCCTTATGGTAGAGCTTTGGACTTCATAATTTCTTGTCTGGAGTACTGAAATAACCCACTAATAGTTCTTTTATCCACCAATCTGGCCCCCAGCCAAGACACCTTTGATTTCTCCTCCCTACCAAGACATTCTGAGCATTCTCGCTCGACCAGGTGGATCTGGCCATAGATTACTATAAAACTAATTGTGTCTTCTGCTTAAAATATTTCAGGGAGACCCATTAATGCCTTTGGATAAAAATTATTTATTAGCTGTGTGACCTTGGATGAAAGATTTGAGTTCATCTGTAAAGTAAGGCAATATGGCACCCTTGAAGAGTGGTGTGAGGATTATGGTGTTTAAATATCCACCACAATGCCTACTGTCTTATAGAAGCTGAGTGGGAATTTACGCTATTTCTACTTATTTTTGACAAGCTGCATGTGACAGTGGGAAAAGTTATTGTATTTGGAGTCAGATAATAATGATAACCACCATAAACTACTAGCAAATGCTTATACGGTGCTTTTCTGTTTGGTAGGTCTTTTTCCAAATACTTTACAAATACTAATTAATCTTCACAACAACCAGACGTAGGTGCTACTATCATGACCATTTAACAGATGAGAAAAGTGGGGCGTGAAGGTTAAGTAAATTGATCTCTACAGAAGTAGTAAAAGAAGAATCGGGACTTAGGCCCTAGTAGTCTGGCCTCAGAATCCATGCGCTTAATTAAAATCTCAACTCTGTTACCAGTAACTTCAGACCTTGGCTAAGTCATTTTAACCTACCGAAGTCTCAATTTTCTCCTCCAACAAAGTAAAACATGAACACCTACCTCAGAAAGATTTCACATTATATAAAACATGAACACTTACCTCAGAAAGATTTCACATTATGGCTGCATTGTGCTCAGCATCTAGCTCAGGAAGTGGTAATGCTTATCATTCCGTGAAAGGCTTTCCATCTGCCTTTGCAAACCTCTCCAACTTCTCCTCTTTCCATTTGCAAACACCAACCCTGCACTTTGGCCAGACTAAATCATTTGTTCAGTTGCATTTTGCATTCCCACTTTTCCATCTGCTTCCATTTTCTCTGCTAACTCACTTTTTTTTTTTTTTTTTTGATAAATACGCAGAGGAAGTGTCTCCTCCTCCCTAGAACATTCCTGCTCTTTTGAGGCTAGGTTAAATGCCAGTCTCTGTCACGTACATATTTTTATTATAGTATTTTTTATGAAGTACTATAATTATGTTTTGTTTTGTTTTTTTTCTGCTTGACTATATTGTGAGCTTCAAAAAGGCAGGGATAATGTTTCTCATTGCTATATCTGGCACACCGGTGATCAGTATATATTTGTTGAATGAATCAATGATCAATATAGTAGGATTGCTATATGTCTACCCATCGGATTCCAATTTAATGTGATAAATGACCTAATAAATATATTTTTATTTATTTAATTAATTAATTTATTTATTTATTGTTGAGACTGAGTCTCACTCTGTTGCCCAGGCTGGAGTGCAGTGGTGCAATCTCAGCTCACTGCAACCTCTGCCTCCCGGGTTCAAGCGATTCTCCTGCCTCAGCCGCCTCAGCTTCCTGAGTAGCTGAGACTACAGATGTGAGCCACCACGCCCAGTTAATTTTTGTATTTTTAGTAGAGACGGGGTTTCATCATATTGGTCAGGCTGGTCTCGAATTTCTGACCTCAAGTGATCCACGTGCCTCGGCCTCTCAAAGTGCTGGGATTACAGGGGTGAGCCACCGTGCCCAGCCCTAAGAAGTATTAATAGATTTTAAAATATCCTGCAAACACAAAGGACATATCAATAAATTCTACTTCCTTTGCTTAAAATTAGAAACTGCTTCACAAAAAAGTTGAATAATGCCTTGAAGGAAGAACAAGGTTTCACCAGGTAGAGAAGAAAAGGAATGTCAGGCAGGAGGACTATCAATGGGAAGATGGTGTGAAAGCTTATTCTCTCCCTGGGTAACAGAATTCTCTGGAATGGCTGAGAATGTCTGCATGTGACTGTTGGTCACAGTGTGAGAGGGCAGTTAGAATAATTGGAATGAGACTAAAAATGCAGACTATGGCCAAACTATGAAGGAATTTACATGCAATATTTTGTTGTTGTTGTTGTTGTCCTTACAGAGTCTCAGAATGTTTTGATTAGGGGAGTTTACAGAGTTCAGCCTGAGGGTTTATAAAAATAATCTGCAGCAGTGTGGAGGACTGATCAGAAAGTAGACAGACGCTGGAGGCAGGAAAACTGAACAGCAGCTCACTGGCCAAGAAGGAGAATCAATGAGCTAGATGCTGAGAATAATGCAGCCATAATGTGAAATCTTTTTGAGGTAGATGTTCATGTTTTACTTTTTTGGAAGAGAAAATTGAGACTTCAGTTGGTTACAATGGCTTAGCCAAGGTCTGAAGTTACTGGCAACAGAGTTGGCATTGATTCTCCTCCTTGATTCTCATTGATTCTTATGTAATTTATATACAATTTATATACTTAAGTCACAGAGAGGAGGCAGCCAATTTCAAAGATGGCATGAGGGCTTGCTGAAGAAGGGTATGGTTGGGATGAGAATGCTGAGCATTTAATAAAAGTTCAAAATGATCACTTAAAGGTAAGAATGTGTTAAGAATTTAGTCAATAATAAATGTAAATGCTTTCATCTGCTTATAAAATACAGGCTACAAATACATTCCCTTAAAAGTTTTAGGTATCTTAAGTATTAATCACTATAATATTTTGATCTCCCTTTAAATATATTATATGCAACTTTTTAAAAAATTCATGAATTAATCTACGTTACTTAACAGATGAATTTTCTTTTAAATCATTTTGTATGCTCAGACAATAAAAATTAATTTACGTTAATCAACAAATTTGATAATCTTAAAGCAAACTAGAATTATTTGCTGTAAATTTTCATAATTCTTTTTGTTCCCCAGCATTTCACAAACATGAAAACAGAACTTAGAAAAACTTGCTTTACTGAACATACCTCATTAGTGGCCTTAAAAGGCAAAATAATAATTCTAGAGGCAAACCACTGATTAATTATAGCTCCAATATAAAGAAAAATTCAACATTATACCCTACATGTAGATTTTGCTCTTAAAAGCCTAATTAAGAAAAAAAAATGAACCAGCCTATATATTTTTTTCAATTTTGTGTGGTCATCCTTGATTAGTTATTTAAGAATTTGGATCATGCAAGCAAATTTATGAGTTGGTAATTTTCATTAATAAGCAAATTTGCAACATGTGAATTTGCAAAGGACTTCTCACAGTTATTGTTATAGGTTTATATATGGCATTAGTTGAAAAAGTTATTCACATTATGATTTATTCATGTATAATATGATTGGCTTTAGTATACTGTTCATTCTCTTCAAGTCCTGAACTCGTGGATGGCGCATATTTTTAAATTTTTTCTGCCTACCTGTTTACAATGTGTGTAAATGTTTACAATGCATTTAAATAAACAATGGTGATTATGGTGGAAATTGATTATTTGTCAGTGCTGATGGGAAACAGGAAATTTAAGAATGACAGGGACAAATCCTTGAATCAGAATTTTTTTTTTAGTGTAATAAATGCCCCAATAAGTAGACTGCAATTTTTAAACACCAACAACTCTTAATAAGCACAAAATTATAGGTGTTTATGTTATAAATAAAGAGCTGTAATAACTAGAAGCAGTTTAGGTCTTGAGGGTGGGGGGTAGGAAGAAGGCAGGGAGTTCAATGCCTGTCTAGCTCTGAATTTGAAAACGATTTCATGCTTTACTGTCTCTTCGTCAGCCTGAGAAAAAATAGCTGAGTGTTGGGCAGGTCTTGGAAGCCTGAGGTTTTACGAGGGATGGCACCTTGGCAGGATCTCTAGAAGCAGAACTGAGACAGACATTCCTGGGCAAGGGGTCTGTGGATGAAGTACTCCAGAAAAGGGGAATGAGAGGACAGGGCAGGGAAAAGAACTCAGCAAGTACTGCGGTGGTGGAGCACTGGAGCTCCAACCGTACCACACATTGGTCCCTTATGGAGGCAAGGAGACCCCCTTGAGGCTCAGGGCAACACTCACTAGCTGGTATAAGGGCATCTAATCCACCACAGCAGCAACTCCTGTGAGTGGTGTTTGTTTTCGATCATTGCCACCTCTTTCACAGTGATCCTAAGACAGAGGAAAGACGCTGTGTTTGTCATAAGGTGAGATGGTGGGATGACAGGGCGGGGACGAGGACAACAAAAAGAGGAGATGATTATGAGTTGTAAACCCTGCATTTAAATGGGAGAGTGACAAAAGGTGGGTGTGAATGAACTATTTACATGAAGAAGTGGAAGCAGAACAGAAGATGTGATATAGAAGCAACTTATTGCTGCATTTAAAGATAGTAGCGGGCAGCGAGTGTGGGCAGGCATAAGCCAGGTGGGGAGGCTTGATGAGCCCTGCTGGTTGATCACCAGAACTTCAGTTCTACCTCTACAAACAGCAGCTGAATAAGGTTGTTCATTCACATGCACCTGCCCACGAAGTCCTGCTGTCTGCACTTTCAGAGCACAGTCCTCTCTTAGCCTTAATGAAGTTTTAAAATGACTTCCCCATCTACTCCTTTCTGCATAAAGTGAAAAAGGCACATGAAAAGGATTTAGGCTTGGTAATATATAATACTCTTCTACGTTTTCTAATCTGTTTAAAGGATTAGTAGGAAAAGTAAATCTCCTCAGGCATAAATGCTTAAATTCTTTAGGATTCTTTGATGCACTTTCTAATTAACTAGGAAATTCAGTTGCAGCACATGTGTGTGTGTGTGTGTAGTTATTGCACAATTGAAGTTGCAGATATAAGAAATTATATAGTATTTTACCTGTAACATATGAAACCCAGAATAAAAGCAATATTCCCAAAGGAAACCCAGCTTGCTTCATTGAATAAGGCAATCCTGAAAAAACATAAAATGCCCCACCCCTCACATTAGCAAGAAAGCTAGAAATACAGAAACTCCCCCCTTCAATTTCTGCATATAATAGGTAAAGTCAATTTATAAACTTATATGACATACTTGTAAGTTGCACATAGGACAGTATTAACATTAAATGTTAGGCATTAATACTTATTTCAGAATAAAATGTTATTAGCTTAGGAACAAGTCAAGAGAGCAAGTTTATGAGGTGATGGAATAAGAATTAGAAAGCAGCAAATGAAAAACAAATGCCAGTTCACACAAATAACGTTTACTTCAGGGTAAGAGTGACACAGCCCTGGAATATGTGGAAAGTCATTACCTCAAATCCTTTCCTACCTGCTAGCCAAGAAAGCAGAGTGGATAATAAGGAGCACAGAAGGGTTATGGAATATTAAGAAAGACAGACTCTGGAGTCAAAATGGGGCTACTATGTAGGAAAAAAATGAGAGAAAAATGAGAAGGCGAAAGTATTTTTTATAATGCTGACAAGGGTACGTATAATTATTTCTTGTAATTTTGGGGAAAATGGGCAACTTTAGGTTATGGACAATAAAATATCTAAAACACACACAGTTAGAATATTTGCAGCCAAGATTTTTATTCTCTGAAAAGTTTTCCCTTAAAGAAAACAAGCCGCTGAGCAGGATTCAGTGGTACTGTTTAGCATTGCTGACATGGCTTAGCTTAGCATATTCACATCAGGAATTAGCTCTAGAATTCTTCTAAGTACAGCTGCCCATACCTTCACTGCACATGGAGATAGAATTGTAAACAAGCCTTTGTCCCTGTTTCCTTCTACTTTATCTCAGGTAATGCCATTTTATGTATCATTTGGAGAAAAAAAAAAAAAAAGACTATCCATAGAAAAACATAAAATCAGGAACCACATTTACTTGTGAAAAGTAAAAGTAACTCAAGAGTAAGAAAAGTAGCTCAATCCAGATAAATGTTTAGTTTTCAGAAGATGATGACAGAGACAAAAATGTCACAACTTTATAAAACCTTGTATTCTCAAAAAGTATTGCATTTTGCAGGATTTTGTTTTCTTCTTGTCTTTTCTGAGATAGAGTGTTTTCAGGTACCAAAAAGAATAATAACCACTGAAAATATAGCTGCTTTTATTACTATAATGCAATACACTTTTAACTTTTTTCAGAAAATTTCCCTTGCTTCTAATACAATGGGAAAATCTGAGCTATTTATTTCTTTTAATTCTGATTTTATGGCTCCTTTGCTAGGAAAATTATATGCATTTTCAATGAACAAATTTGCATTGTTGACTAAATGATATTTAAAATTAATATATTGTAATAATTTTGTACTTTAAAATTTAACATTGTATAGATAGGTAAAGAATGTATGAATTTAATTTTTCATAAGATTGGTATGTTTTCATATTAAACTCTTCACCTCCAACATTTACAAATATCTGGAAGTTTTATACTTCTAGAAGGTTAAAGAAAGATGATTCAAATAATGATGGACTCTTCAGTAAGTGGAAAAAATACATTAGGTAACATTAGCAATCAACCACACAGCCTACAGAAAAAAGATTCACCACCGCCCATATGCAGTTTCACCTTAATCTACCACAAGTGGAAGATGCTCTTAACTGTGGAAGTAGTGTGAATTACAGCCCCATCTTCAGCATAAAAGAGACACACACATACAGTTACACTAGAAAAAAAGGAAGGCTTTTATGGAAGAAAATTACCAATTTTCTTAAGTCTTTTTTTCTTTAAAAATAATTAATGAACACTAGCAGCATAGCGAGTCTTAAATTTTGCCCTTTCACTTAAAATTTAAACCAAAACAAAATACACTTACCTATTATACCAGATCCTATAATCGAGTTGACAACATTAAAAAGAGCAGCAGACTGACAGGTTTTCTCTTTATACTCATGTTCAGAAACAAGGGTTTCTCTGTCATCTAGATCTCTCTATTTTAATAGATAAAATAGCAATTACAAGCAAATACTAGCTCAGAAAATTAGAAAAGTAACAAATATGTAATGCAGGATACTAGCACGATATTTCTAGTAATAATAAGTAATGTCACTAATGAAAATAAAATAATGCCAGGATAACAGTAATAAAGAATAACAATAATGGCTAGTAATTCAACAGAGCTTGGTAAGCTAACTCCATCCTAAAATTTCCAGATTACAGCTGCCCCAGCTGCTAAGTACAGAATCTGTTAGGAATTCAGTGATGTGATTCTGTGAAATTAAAGTGCCTGCTAAGGAAAAAAAAAAACAAAGTCAGATTAAGGCAAAACTTTTTCCCCCAGAGAACTTTTCGCGGTGCTAAACCAAGAGCCCAGGTGAAGGTAGGTGACCTGACCTGTTGCAAGGTGAATGAAATTTCCAGAAAACTGGCTTCAGAACGCCCAGTTGCTAGTTTTACCTGCGGTGGGATGACAGGGTCCTGCCTCTGGTAGCCCATGGCTGCGCGGTTGTCCTGAGCAGGTAGAAGATGCTGGGGCCGAGTCCCGACTCGCATCCCGCCAGCCTCCTCCGCCACCTCGCACACAGCCCAGGTCCGCGTGCGGCCGCAGAGCTGCAGGGAGCCAGTTCCACCGGCGCCCCCTGCCCCGTCGGCAGGCCGCGAGGGCTGCAGCCCCAAGATCTCTAGGCTGTGGCAGCTTGGGGCGCTTTTCCACCTGAGTTCGCCCAAATACAGTTTTCCTCCGGATGCGGAGATGCTGCAGGATGTTTCTGATCCGGGCTGCCCTGTCTCCCCGCCTCCCGCCTCCACACCCCCGCCTTCCTCAGAGAACAGCGAGAGCTACTCTTCCCCGGAGCTGCAGAGGACAACTTGTTCCACCCACGCTGCCCTGCCTAGATTGCACAGAGTTATGACCGCCTCGTTGCAGCCCGTTCCTAAATTAGCTACGCCTTTGCTGGGTCCGAAACCCAGGTAAGAGCGCAGAAGCACCCTTGGACCCGTGGGGCATCTTCCCTATTAGCATCTCCTCCTCGCAACACCTTTTCAATGGCAGAGACGACGGGTGAAAATTTGGGACTTTTATTGTAAATGGAAATGGAAAGATTCATAAGAAAATGAATAGCAAAACAAAAAACTTTCCTAGGGTATTAGCAAACTTGACTACTGAGCATGCTTTGGTCAAACGCTTTCTGGTAACTTTTTAGAAAAAGGAGCCATAGAGAAAATGAAGGTGGATTGTTAATGGATTCAGGTAATGAACCTTGAAGAGGGAAAGAGGAGTACAAGGGTTTGGAAAAGGGATGGCACCTACAGTGTCTGAGCTAGAAGGAATCTTCAGTGACCTTCTATACATTACAGATGAAGCAACAAGTCCAGAGAGTATTCAATATCAGAGACAGAATGCATAAGACAACAGTTTCAGGGGCAGTAAGAGGGGTGATATGCCATCATACTTACCAAATTCTGCCTTCCCTTGATATCCACAGGGGGTTGGTTCTGGGACCCCTGCAGATACGAAAATCCTTGTACGAAAATCCTTGATACGAAAATCCGTGCTCGGGTCCTTGATACTAAACGGCATAGTATTTACATGTAACCTAGGCACATTCTCCAGCATACTTTAAATCATCTCTAGATTATTTATAATACCTAATACAATGTAAATGCCATTTAACTAGTTGTTATACTGTATTGTCTAGGAAATAAGAAAAAAAGTCTGTATGTGTTCAGTATAGACACATCCATCCTAGCCCTAAGTACATTTTTGATCTGGGATTGGTTTAATGCATGGATGCAGCACTGGGGATATGGAGGCCAACTGTACCTAATTAAAGAGGTTCTGTTTCATACGTATTTACTTGTAATTATGAAAAAAAATTAAAACCGTGGGAAAACACTTATAAACTTTATATACACTCTGCCATCAAATTAACAAATGTTAACATGCTGTCATATTTTCTTCAAATTGTAAAAGTAAACATAATGTCACAATAGGAACCCCCTTGACCTTCTCCATTCCTTTCCATAGACCTTCAGCCCTGGAGTCATCGGTTCAAGTTAGTGTTATCTTTGCTATTCATGCTTTGTATTTTAATCCGTTCATTTATAGCCATAAAAAATATATAACATTGGCTTTTGTGTTTTCAACATTTACGAAGATGGTACCATATTGTACATGTTATTTTTCCACTGGCATTTTTATTTTCAGCATGTATGATGTAGATATATGCAGATACGCTTTTGTTTTTCATTTTATCTAACAGTTAAGTCAGCCTTACCCCCACTGAAAGATAGTAAGGTTGTTTCTCATTTTACACTCTTACGGAGCATAAAAGTGACAGTTTCTCTAGCTGTAGAAGTGTTATGTAGTAGGTCATGCGCACTTGCAACTTTGTTAATTTTCTTTTTCTTTTTCAAGCGGAGTTTCAGTTTTGTTGCCTAGGCTGGAGAGCAATGGTGTGGCCTCTGGTCACTGCAACCTCCGCCTCCTGGGTTCAAGTGAGTATCTTGCCTCAGCCTCAGGAGTAGCTGGGAATACAGGTGCCCACACCACACTCTGCTAAGTTTTTATATTTTTAGTAGAGATGAGGTTTCACCATGTTGGCTAGGCTGATCTTGAACTCCTGATCTCAGGTGATCCACCTGTCTCAGCCTCCCAAAGTGTTGAGATTACAGGTGTGAGCCACTGTGCCTGGCCTTCATTAAATATTTTTAAATTGCTTTGCAAATTGATAACATGAATTTCACTTCTACCAACAGAGGTGAAATTCTTGTTTTTCTACATTGTCTGCAACACCAGGATTTACTTAATCTATTTTTTAAGTTTCATTGTTCTGCTAGATTTTTAAGTGGTGTATAATTATTGTATAAATTTGTATTATCCTAATTTACATTGAGATGGAAGATATGTTACATACTAGTTAAATATTTCCATTGTTCTCTTTGTGAATTTCATTTTTTTTTTTTGCCCGTTTGATTTTGGTTGTAATTTTTTTCTATTGATTTGTAAGCATAATTTATATATTTGGGGTGGCAACCTTGTGTCATTTATATGTTTTATACGTATCTTTTCCCAGCCTCTCTCTTTTAAATTTTTTTAATTCTGTGAAGTCACAGTTTTAATATTAGTAATCTTAATCCTGATACAAGTGCATTGAGAAGTAAAAATTATAACCCTATTTTACTCAAAAAGAAAAAAAATAGATGCAGAAATTCCAAGCAAACTGTTAACAAGTTGAACCTATCTGTTCACAAAAAGTTAACAATATCATTAAAAAGTTGAATATAGCCCAACTATGAAAGGATGGCTTAATTAAGAAAAAAGTTCATAAGTATAATTTCCAACATTAACAGGTAAGAAAAAACCATGTTATTATTTCACTATATTCAGGAAAAACACTTGATAATGTTGAATTCTTGATTTAAAAAAACTTTGTAAATCAAAATATAATACAACTTCCTGATAGTGATAAACTGTAGCAAAATATTTTCATTACGAAGAAATTTTGGAAGCATTCCTATTTAATCAGAAGTGAAAAAAAATCAATGATTGTGACTTTTATTTAACTTGATGTTGGAGTTCCTAGTCTAAAGTAATAAGAAATAAAAGACAAATCAGAGGTATGAGAATTGGAAAGCTAAAATTAAAACTGTCATCATTTTTAGATGATAAAATTGTTTGTATAGAAAAATACAAAATAATCTAAGAGAAAAAAATTAGAAATAGAGAATTTAGAGAGCTTATTAGCATAGATTAGACTAAAAATATATTAATTTCTCTACAGCAACAGCAAACAACTAGATATTGTAATTAAAAAGTATATAATAGTGTCAGAGAATATCTAATACTAAGAAATAAATCCAACCAAGGAGAAAAATGTACACAGTCCCTTCAAAAAAAAGATAACAATCAAGATACATTATAGAAGGCCTAAATAAATTGAGAGATATACCTTATGCATGAATCAGAAAAAATATTCTAAAGATATCGAATCTGACCAAGTTGATCTATTGATTAATACCATTATTTTCACCACTACATTGACCACAAATCTCTGTCAAAACCTTTCCTTTCTGTTTAGTTACAAAAGAAAAATCTTTGTTCTTTAAAAAGTAGAAAATAAAATAAAAAGGATAAATTTTAAATGTTCAGTTATTTCCACTCCCAGGGATAACTTTATTTTAAAGATTTTTTTCAATATATCAGGTTGGTACAAAAGCAATTGCAGTTTTTGCCATTAAAGTAATGGCAAAACCTAATATTTTGCACCAGCCTAATATTATATGTGTTTCTGTATGTATGTGTTGTTCTTTTTTCTTTTTGTAGATGATAGGCTCCGTGGTGGTCTTAAAATACATCCACCAATTCTCTGACATCCTCTCTTCAAGAAGTGGAGCTTAATTCCCTTTCCTTTGAGTGCAGGTATGACTTACTGACTTGCTTCTAATGAATAGCATATGACAGAAGTGATGTGTGTACATTCTGATACTAAGTCATGAAAGTCATTGTGAATTCTGCCTTGTTCTCATTCAGACCACTCTGGGAGAAACCAATGGCTATGTCATGGGGAAATTCAAACCACCTATGGAGCGAGGCTCACATGGTGAGGAAGTAAAGCCTCTTGCCAATACCAAGCGAGTGAGATATACTAAAAGGGGATCCTCCAGCCCCAATCAAGTTTTCATATGACTGCAGCCCCTGCCAGCATCCTAACTGCAACCTCATAAAAGACCCTAGCAATAGCCAAGTGTGGTGGCTTATGCCTGTAATCCCAGCACTTCGAGAGGCTGAGGCGGGCAGGTCAGCTGAGGTCAGGAGTTCAAGATTAGCCTAGCCAACATGGTGATACCCATCTCTACTGAAAATACAAAAATTAGCTGGGTGCGGTGGCATATGCCTGTAGTCCCAGCTACTTGGGAGGCTGAGACAGGAGAATCACCTGAACCCAGAGGCAGAGGTTGCAGTGAGCCGAGATCGTGCCACTGTACTCCACCCTGGGTGACAGAGTGAGACTCTGTCTCAAAACAAAAAAGACCCTAGCAAGGACCCCTTAACCAAACTGCTTCCAAAGACGGGGCCAACAAAAATGTGACATAATTTGTTTTTTTAGGCCACTAGGTTTTGGCATTATTTGTTATACACCAATAGATAACTGATATAGGCTCATTCTATACATATTTTTGATGATCTTTTTAAAAGAACTTTTTCTTAATTTCATAAATATTTAATATAATTTCAAAATATTATATTCTCAATGAGAAAACTCAACAAAGAAAGAGACAGACACATAAAATGACTAACAATCCTCCCATGCAGAGAGGTAAACAGAGTTAACATTTTAGAACCCTACAGTTTAGTCAGATTATACAGTATTTAGTTTGTTGAAGTGCATATTCACATGCACAAAAATAGTTTTATTGAGTCTGTCTTAGCCCCAGACAGAGGCTGTGGGAACTGGACTTTCAAAAATATAGAGAGTCCTAATTTGAGCTTTTTATCAAATTATACAATTATGTAGATCATATACTAAGCCTTTGTAGAATTATTATGTTTCATTATTATTTGGTTACAGTCCAGGCGAGGTGACTTCCAAGGGTACCTAGCTCTCTTAGAAATAATAAAAGAAGGCTCTAGCTTGGCAGACATTCGAGTTTAGAAAGCTCTTCCTGATGTCTAATCTGACTCCTTTCTGATATTATTAAAGTCCAAATTTGGATGAGACTAGAGACAATAACTTTCAATCCATATCTCTAGGAAAGAGTGACTTTTTCCTCAACCCTAGAAATGAGTCTGTAAGAGGAGTGCTTTTTTCCTTCTGTGAAAAACCGGATGCTTGACATCCTCCACAGTATTGGGTTATTGGCCTCATTGCTATAACAAACAGAGCACCAATATGTAGCGTTTCAAACAAGATGGACCTTACTTTCTGTCTTTTTAAATTTTCCACAGGTAGGTGTTCTCAATCTTTATTGGAAAGTCTTCTCTAATATGTTCAGCTAAATAATCAAAATATATCTTTTTTAGGATTAATCACTTTAAACATCATTTTTGTAATTGACGTGTTCTATGTATTACTCATGAAACAATACCTTATTTGTGTGGTACCATATTATTATTATTGCTTAATTAAGGCATTTTCATGTTTTCTAACTGTAATTATTAGAATTCTGCAAGTCTGCTACAGTGACATTTCTGGTTAGGAGTCAGCGTGGATGGGGCACTGAGCAATAAGGTAAGTTTTACTGTGTGAGTGAGCCCTGGTTTGCCCAAGATAGTTTTCATTTAGGCTTCCTGTCCCAATGTAATCATAAGTAGCATTGTATTAATCCATTCTTGCATTGCTATAAAGAAATACCTGAGACTGGGTAACTTATAAAGAAAAGAGGTTAATTGACTCATGGTTCTGCAGGAGGTACAGGAAGCATAACACTGGTATCTGCTTCTTGGGAGGACTTGGAAGCTTAAGGTCATGGCAGAAGGCAAAGCAGGAGCAAGAGAGCTAGAGAATTGCTCTACACTTTTAAACAACCAGACCTCAAGAGAACTTACTGTGGCTAGGACAATACCATGGGGAATGGTGCTAAACCATTCATGAGAAATCTGCCCCCATGATCCAATCACCTCCCACCAGGCACCACCTGCAACACGGGGATTACATTTCAATATGAAATTTGGGTGGGGACACACATCCAAACTATATCAAGCATCTTCGTCATTCTCAGAAGTGTCCCTGTTTGGATGATAGGTTACAATATCATGCTACCTATGGGGTAGGATGGCGGCACCTATGGGGTAGGATGTGGGAACTATGGGGTACTAATCTCACCTAATATGTACTTAACACTTCACATTTATCTCTTGTGGTATTCAAGTTGAGAAAGGATGCAGATTTTAAAGACATGTGCTTTGGGTTATTTAGTTAGTATAGTGTATTGGGAGCTCAGGCTCTGGAATCAGAAAAAAAAAAACTGAGTCTGAATCAAAGTTCAAGAGATCTTGGCAAGTTGCTTTATTCTTTGAGCCTTAATGTACTTATTTGTAAAAAGGGAAAACTAAGAGCACCTCTCTCAAAGCAGTAGTTGTGGGAATTAAATGAGATAACCTATTTTTTAAATTATTCATAATAATTGTACATATTTATGAGGGGCAGAGTGATATTTGATACATGTATACAATGTTTAATGATCACATCAGGATAATTAGGATATCCATCACCTCATTTATCATTTATTTGTGTTATGAGCATTCAAAATCCTCCCTTCTATCTTTTTGAACATAGATAATAAATTGTTACCTATAGCCACCCCCCAGCATGATAGAACAGTAGAACTTATTTCTTCTACCTAGTAATTTTGGAGATGACCTAGACTTCTGTTAGTTTCCTAAAGCTGCTGTAATAAAGTATCATAAACTGGGTGACTTAAAACAACTGAAATTTATTGTCTCACAGTTCTGAAGGCTAGGAGTCCCAAATCAAGGCATCAGCAGAGCCATGCTCCCTCTGAAACCTACGGGGGAGAATCCTTGCTAGCTTCTTGTGGTTGGCCTGCAGATGCAACACTACAATCCTCCATCTTCACATGGCATTTTCCCTGTGTCTCTGCACACTGTTCCCTCTGTGCATGTCTTGTCTGCATCTGAGTTCAAATTATCCTCTCGATTTTTTTTATTAGGATACCTATCATATTGGATTAGGGTCTACCCTAATGGCCTCACCTTAACTTGACTACACCTGCACCTACATCTGTTTCCATAGAAGGTCACATTCTGAGGTAGTAGGGGTTAGGACTTCAACATACCTTTTCAGGGAGACACAATTTAATCCATAATACTATTTTTAAAGTATTTAGTTATTTGCTTGGCCTATAATAAGCTCTCATTGATGTTTTCTGCTGATATATCCAAACAGAAAAACACTTTGTTAGGCCAAAATCATATAAGATAGAGGGAATTTTGGTCACTGCAAGAGAAACTGCTATTTGACTTTAAACATTTATTTTTCCTTCCTCCACCCTGAGAGAGATTCTGATTTTGGTCTTGACTGTGGCTACCTGGAAAGAGAACTGATATGTACATCCTTACTTGTAACTGGTTGTGGTCACACAGCTAAGTTTGACCAAGAAGATGCAGGTGGACCGTAAGTCCTTAATGAGAAGGAAAATAATGCCTTACCTTTCTTTTGCTCCTTCTCACTGGCCAGAATGAACGAAGATGGCTGAAGCTGGAGTTTTTCTCTGAAGCAACCACCTTCGACAGGCATCATGTCGAAGATGCCTGAGTAATACGACAGAGGGGATCTGGGTCCCTGGTGGATGTTCCAGATCTGGGTGTTCATGGTGATATGAGAAAGCAGTAAACTTCAGTTTTGCCTAAATAGCTGTTACTTGGGGCATTCTGTCATTTACGGACAAATCTGACCTGGATTAATATACTCCGCTGGGTACCAAGACTGATCTAATAGTCAAAAAGGTTTCATTCCGTCTAGATGTTTCTCTAGAACAGGACCTAAAGTTCTTTAACTGAATTTCTTACGGAAGTAATAGGAGAGTTCCTTGTGCTTCGTTAAATGCTGTATTGGTAAATATATATGATTTACAATTATATGCAAATATAATAAGCTATAAATCATTGGATTCTGATATTTTTAGTTTAGTCTCATTAATGAACTGCTAAGAAATCTTGGATAACATATCTAGAATAATACTCTCTCTCTCGAATGTGGTATGGATCCTTCTCTGTATCCTGTGTTGTTGGTCTCATCCATATATCCGTAAGTGTCTGGTCAGCATGGCTGTCGAAGGTTTACTTTGGGACTTACAGAGAATTCTTAGTCTTTGATCATTAACCTGAGGACTGACCCAGCAAAACTGAAGCTCTGACTGACTTGAGTGTACTCTCAGCATCTTTCACTTTACCGCCTGTATTCTCTGCATATGTGATAGAGAATATAATTTTAAAGTCTGTGTGGAAAAAAGTACTTCTACTGGAAATCCAAACTGAAATTCGATCCTTCTTTTTTTCAGCTCATGATATTTTCTTTGTGAGATCATGTACCATTTCCTGGCTCCAGAAGCTGGAAGAGGTGACTGTTACAGCTTAATCATTTTGTCAGAGGCGTTTGAACCAGAGTAACTCCATCTTGAATAGGGGCTGAGCAAAATGAGGCTGAGACCTACTGGGCTGCATTCCCAGAGAGTAAAGGCATTCTAAGTCACAGGATGAAATAGGAGGTTGGCACAAGATACAGATCATAACGACCTCACTGATAAAACAGGTTGCATTAAAGAAGCCAGCCAAAATCCACCAAAACCAAGATGGCCATGAGAGTGACCTCTGGTTGTCCTCACTGCTACACTCCCACCAGCGCCCTGACAGTTTACAGATGCCATGGCAACATTGGGAAGTTACCCTATATGGTCTAAAAAGGGGAGGCATGAATAGTCCACACCTTGTTTAGCATATCATCAAAAAATAACCATAAAAATGGGCAATCAGCAGCCCTTAGGGCTGCTCTAAGGAGTAGCCATTCTTTTACTCCTTTACTTTCTTAATAAACTTGCTTTCACTTTACTCTATGGGCTCACCCTGAATTCTTTCTTGCACAAGATCCAATAACTCTTAGGGTCTGGATTTGTACCCCTTTTCTATAACATCTTCATGCCAGCTATAATGTGAATAACATGATGCAAGACAGTAGGTAAGCAAACTGTGATTATCTTCAAATAGTATCAGCTTTTATCACTCACTAATAAATATGCCCAAAACACACCCAAAGTGACGAGGTAGAAGAACCAAAATTGGGGGCTGGGTACCGTTTAGTATCTTTTAATCAATGTGATCTATGAAGGTTACACTAGAATAAGTAAGAGCTCATTTACCGATTTTGATCTTTTTTCTTCTTTTATTTTATTGAAGTTCCCTTTGCATTATGTCATCCCTGTATCAGTTCAATTTGGCCTGGAGAAAGGATATTGTATACCCTTTGGATGGGTTGGCCAGGAAGACCAGATTCTGGCAAGATAGTACACTTGACAGTGACAACTAAAGAACATGCAACCTGGGGCACAGAGTAGGGTGGAACCTTGGCAGTGGAAGTATTAGGGACAACTGTGACTGTGTATCCTCTCCCAGCTACAGCAGTGCCTTCTTATACATGATGTTTGCCGGAAATACTCTTCGCCACAAAGAAGGGCAGTGGTGCTAAAATCAGGAAGTGGGAGCAAAGGGACCAAAAAGACTTTGTGGCCAGAGCCAATATTGCCCATAGTGTAGAAATATGAGGTTGGCAAACTTTCCCCAAATCTCTGAATCTGACTTAAGTCTCTTTCTTTCTGATCTTGGGTAATTTTGTTTACTTCTAAAATATAGCACTCAATCCTTTATTGCATGCTGTAGCTAAGTATCGTCATATCTGTGGGAATGGTAAGCTTATTGTGGGAAAGGATCACATTTATGTTGCTGTTGATGAAGATTTTTTTTCCCACTGAACCTAGCATAGTGATTCACACAGTCACTGCCGCTCATTAAAAATGTTCCAAATGGAAGAAACAATCCAAACAGGAATTAGCAACTAAAAAGCCTTGTTGTTAAGTGTCAATAAATTTCATGTGGACAGCAATAAGGACCATCAGGAGAATATTTAAGTAATGAAATTATGATGTTCATTTGCCTCTAGGGCTTCTAAGAGACTGAGAAAAGCCTGGCTCATCTCCATTTACTAATGCAACCAGAATATTTTGAAAAATACATTTTAGAAAAGAGTGACACAAAATTGTGATACATTTCTAACCATTTGACAAATTAACACTTTGTTTTTAAACCCAAACGTAGTATAATATTACTGGTATTCATACAATAATGAAAGGATGCATTAAAATATATTTATTTATAATGCTTAAAATGGGGTGGTGTTATAATGTGTCATAAGTTTAAGATTAAGAGTGACATGTTTTAATTTTAGTGTATCTATGCTGCCCTAGGTGTAACTGCCCAGTGGGTTCTTCCTGCCTGCTACACAAACAAAATCAATTCACAGAGACCATGGCATTTCAGTAAAGAAAGAGTTTAATTGACATGAGGCCAGCCATTGCTATGTGGGAGATGGAGTTATTATTCAAATCAGTCTCTCCAAGAATTTTATGGCTGGAGTTTTTCAAAGGTAGTTTTGGGGAAAGGGTGGGGGTCGTGAGGCAATGGGTGCTTGCTGCTGACTGGCTGGGGGTGCAATCATAGGGGTGTGGAAATGGTCTTCCTGTGCACTTGACTTGCTTCTGGGTGGGGCCACAGAAGCTAGTGTTTGGTGGGTTTAGGTGGGGCCTTTGGTTATGAAACATGAAAAAAACCCTTAAAAGATATCTCAAAAGGCCAATCATAGGTTCTAAAATAGTGATGCTATCTGCAGGAGTAATTGGGGAAGTTGCATATTTTGTAATCTCCAGAATAATGGCTGGCTATCCTTTATGTGTGCACCTTAGCAGAATTCAGGCTCCTCTATTCTCTTAGCCTGGTGGTCTTTCCTTTGCTTTACAAAGGCAGTTGAGTTTATGGGAAGGACTATTATCACTTAAACTGTAAACTAAATGTTTCCCAAAGTTAGCTTCACCCAAGTCCAGGAATAATTAAGGACAGCTTGAAGGGTAAACACAAAACTGGGTGGCTAGATCGGATCTCCCCCACTGCCAGTATTTTCTTACTGATACAGTTTTTGCAAGGGTGGTTTCATAGGTATAACATCATAAATCTGAAGCTTTTCAAACATTGAAAGCTCAAACCAAATGGCTCTTCTCAACTGCCTGTGACAGACACTGTCTATCTTAGAAGTGTTTAGTAGAAATGTATTAAAAAGACGCCAAGGACACCCAAAAGACTAGCAACTGAAGTTGCACATTATCCACTCACATTTCAAAAGGATTATCTACTCATCCTCTATAAGGAGGGGAAAGGATGTACTAGGTTCCACAAATCAGCCTCAGTGCTGACATTGCCCCAGTAACATATCTGAAAGCTCACACGCTCAGATTAGAAAAACGATGTAGGATCTATTGAATATGTCTACGTTTCCCACTTTTGATCATTACTAATTACCAATATTGTGTGTGTGGCATTCTATAGGTTCTGAAAACAAGGTATGTATGCTCTGTAGTTTGGAACCAACCTTCATCACAAGATGACTAACTTGATTAGGTAGTATAAGAGATGTACCAAATGAGTGAAATAGATATATTTATTGGAGCAATTTAGAGGAAGTGATAATTATAGGAGGGTGAGGTGTGGGTGGTCAGTGGTACTTGATGGAAGGCTGGAAACATAAAATTTAGCCTAGCAAAAATGAAATTTAGCTTATAAATATAGCATCCTGATCTTGAATCTGAACAACCAACTGTATAGGTGCAAGGTAAGAACATGTGGGTTATCTCCAACTCATTTGTAATACTGTTTTTAATTAACAAGAGGTTTAAATAATGCAACAATTTAATGGGGCTGAGAAAAAAGTCTAACACAGTCAGGTAAAGTACTTGTAATAATTACACAGAACAAGAATGATGATAATCCAGACCATCTGTGTTGGTCACACCACATGTGGATTATTGTTTTCAGCTCTGGAAACCACAATTTGAGGAAAGTTACAGATAAACTGGGACATTTACAATTGAGAGGGATCAGAATAATGAGAGGGTACTGAGTCTCACAGTGCTTTAACTAGCCAGAGAATAAAGATTCAGAGGTTGAGAGGCTCACTCAATATTACCAATGGCTTTATAACCTAATTACTTAGAGTTGTCCTGGGATAAATTGAGTGGTAAATTGTTACTAGAGGTATTTAAACCTGAGCATTACCACTGGGCAAGGACGTTGTAGGGGATGATTAAGGATAGAAAGGGTGCTAGGTGTTCTCCTTTGCTTGTCAGTAAACAGAAACCTACTTGCGCTTCTTTAGGAGTGGGGAAAGTGGTGATTAGAACAATTTTTGTAGTGAATCTAGGACTAGAAAATTTGTCAAGATTCCAGGTATCCCTAGATTTTTCTTTTCTCTGTCTATCATGGCCAGCATGATCTTTTTTCTCATGGAATCTTAGCTTTTTTTTCTGTCGGTCTACTTCATTATTCTCTTGCAACTGACTGGTTAGTCCCTGAGTTCTCTGGGGAGAATTCCAGAGCAAGTGAGTCTGACAGGCTTAGCTACATACCTTTGCCTCCATTGAGCACAGCTTGTTGAACCACACCTCCTCCTAGGAGGCTGCCAGCTGTTAAAAGATAAACTTAAGCACATTAACATTTTAAAGAGTTTATTTGAGCAGACAGTGATTCATGAATTGACAGTGCCAAAGCACAACCAGGTTGGGCTCCACTGAAGGGGAATAAGGGAAAAAGTTTTATCAGGTGTTCTCCGAAGCAAGACAAAGAAAATATTTGATTGGCTAAAGTAGCCTTAAAGTCCCTAGTTAGAGGTTAGTTGGCAGTTTCTGATTGGTTAAGATTAAGTCCCATTTTCCTAGGCTATGACCATTCCCTCTGAGCTGGGTTTGAGTTCATATGTATGAACTCAGGGGGCTAGAGTCACCTCAGTTTGATGTTTTCCCAATTAATTATTTTAACACAGCCTAGGGATGAGCTCTTCTTGGGCTAGTTACCAATCTCTCATCCAGTCAATTGGCCATTGTGCCAGCTACAGTGACTTCCCTACAAAGCAACGGGGAGTGGGAATGAAGAAAACAGCTTGAGCTGAAGGTGGGTTTGAGCAGTGGCCTGCACTGTGGTTCATATACATGGAAATACTAGATGGCATTAAAATTCCTCTACCACTTGTAATTCCTCAATTCCATGATGCTAGTGTTATTGGTGGGTCTTTGTTTTCAGATCTCCCAAGATGGTGGCGGCTGCTCCCAATATGGCAGCAAGCTTTTTGTTCTCTGACCTAGGGTTCTTGACCTCACAGATTCCAAGGAATGGAACCTTGGACCATGCGGTGAGTGCTAAAGCTCTATGAGAAGCCATGGGTCACGGAAGAGAACTGTGGAACCCAGCGACTAATATTCAGCTTGATTAGGATGAACCCGGGCACTTAGCCATGCAGAAACAATGGCAAGCCTCTAGCCTGATCAGGAGTGGCATGGGGTGCCTCTCTGGATCAGAAGTGCAGCAGATACCCTGCCAGATCCGGAGG